ATTCCTCTCTAAGTTGTCTATTCTCATTAGCATTTTGTCAAATCTTTTCTCAAGGTTCTTAGTTTCTTTGCATTGGGTTAGAACATGTTCTTTTAGCCCCCAGAAGTTTCTTATTACCTACCTTCTGAAGCCTGATTCTGTCCATTCATCACAATCATTCTCCATCCAGCCTTGTTCCCTTGCTGGTGAGGAGTTGTGATCCCTTGTAGGAGGAGAGGTGTTCTGGTTTTGGGTGTTTTCATCATTTTTCTGCTGGTTTCTTCCCATCTTTATGGATTTACCCTCTTGTTGTCTTTGTAATTGTTGACTTTCAGATTGGGTCTCTGAGTGGACACCCAGTTTGTTGATATTAAGTTATTTCTTTCTGTTTCTTAGTTTTCCTTCTAACAGTCTTGCCCCTCTACTGTAGGACTGCTGAGTTCCACTCCAGGCCCTGCTTGCCTGTCGATTGCCTGCAGTGGCTGCAGAACAGTAAGGGTTGCTGCCAGTTTCTTCTTCTGCTATCTTTCTCCCAGAAGGATACCCGCCAAATGTCAGTCTGAGCTCTCCTTTATGAGGTGACTATGGATATTTGGGGATCAGGGAGCCACTTGAGGAGACCGTCTGTCCTTTGCTGGAGCTCAAGTGCTGAGCTGTGAGCTCCATTGTTTATTTAGAGCTGCTGGGCAGGTACGTTTAAGTCTGCTGCAGCAGAACTCATAACCCCTTTTTTTTTTTCCCCAGGTGCTCTGTCTCCCAGAGTGAGGACTTTATTTATGAGTTTCTGTTGTGCTGCTGCCTTTTTTTCAGGGCTGCCCTGCCCAGCAAGGAGGCAGCCTCATCACTGTCTGCCTGCGAAGGCTTTGCTGAGCTGCTGTGGGCTCCGCCTAGCTGCTGTGTAATCTTCCCTGCAGTCCTGTTTATATGAGTGTAGTTAGAACTGCCTTGGCAATGGTGACCCACCTCTGTAATGGCAGACTCTCTCTATAATGGCGGATTGCCTCGGCAATGGCGGGCTGCCTCAGCGATGGTGGACTACCTCCATAGTGGTGGAGTGCCTCGGTAATGGCGGACACCCCTTCCCCACAGAGCTGGACTGTCCTGGCTTCAGCTTTGCTTGCTGTGAAACTCTCAACCCAGAGCTTTTCCAATTTTTTTTTGTGTGGGAGTGGGACCAGCTGAGCCTGATCACCTGGCTCCCTGCCTCAGAGCCTTTTTTTTAGTTGAAGGTTCGACTCTCTCCCAGGTGTTCCAGTCGCCTGTTAAAAAGGCGCTGGGATCTGTGTGATTTCCCATGCAGTGACCCACTATACCTGCTGAAACAGCGGCACTGAGATTTGTGGCACTTTTTTTTTCTGGGATTCTCCTGGCCTGGCTCCCCATTTCAGTCCCCTTTTTAATCAGATGAATGGGTGACTCTGCCTTCCCAGAGCTCCAATCGCCAGCTAACATGGCACCCAGACCTGTGTATTTTGTACGGAGAACCGCCACCCTGGGGCTCTGGCAAAACAATGAAGCCAGCCGAAGCAGCCGCCCCGGCCAAAACCGCCATGCTGGTGATCTGTGGGGCTCCTCCGCCTGGGAATCTCCTGGTCTGTGGGCAATAAAAATCCATCTGGAAATGCGATGTCCACTCTCCTTCTGTGCTTTCACTTGGAGCTGCAATCCTGAGCTGCTCCTAATCGGCATCTTGGATCCCTCCTAAAACTTCTTTAAAAAGTTTTCTTACTGCTCAAGTCAAGCAGATCAGTAATGGTTTTCAAGAATCTTTTGACAGATTTTAGATAGGGAAGGAATGTGCAACAAATAGCATGGCCTGACCCACTTACTTTATACAGCTACTCCTGGTTGTTATTGCTAATCAGAATCCTGTAGTCTAAAATTAACAATGGCTATGAAGGAGAGCAATTAAGGCCATTTGTCTTTCAAATGAGTCCGTGTGGGTCCCACTCATAGTTTAAATTTATATACAGAGGGCATTCTCACTATTATAAAGGGCAATGGGGGCCTGAAGACCTGTATTACAAAGCAGTAAATTATTTTAGGGTTTGATAGCAAATTATATTTTGAGAAAAAGTTTCCCCTTGCTACGGGAAGATACATTTCTGAGGAAGCTATTTTCATTGATTAATTTTAAATTAAAAAGTAAATCTTTTTTAATGAGAGCATTTATAAAAGGTCTATTTTAAGCATATTTAAAAGACAATATTAAGCTTTCAAGTTCTTGAGTTTGGTTATTTTGTAAGGATTGCTGTAGTCATAAGAGTGATTCAAGAATATGCTCAACATATTCTACTTTTGGAAAATATTTTAGAGCTTATAGTGCCATCATGACATCTCTGATGTTTTCTGCTTTGCCTGTGGCACTGACCCCTCTCTGTCATTGATGAGGAGTGTAACTTTCACTCATATTCAAATTGCCAAATGTTTAATGAGGGAAGTAAATTTCTTTTTTACAGAGAAGAATTTACAGCATTAACATTTACTACTTAGTCTGCTACTTGGTCAGAGAATTCACTGAGTTTCTTCACAGAGATCCCCATGGAAACTAAACAAATAAGCTATTTGAGAGGAGACAAGTTATTGGTTTTTCTCATTAAACCCACTGCTGGATTTTCATTAGTTCTAATGCATTTTCTTTCAAGAAGAGACATATAGGCCAGTTCTTATTTTCATGATTTGAATAAACTAAATATGTTGTGCTGGTACACATAGGCTGAGAAGCAAAAGTAATCTTTCTAACTTCTGCCATGCAATTACTCCTGAAAATAAAGCTGGAAAAACCATGACTGATGCAAAGGGGAAATGCTACCCCCATGTAAAAAGACCAAGTTATTAAATAAAGTAGGAGCGTCGAGAGTGATTGTAGGCTAATCTGATTGGTTTTATGCTTGAGTCACCACCTACTTTTAAATCATAATTGTGTGTGAAAGTAACCTAAATAAAGCATGAAAGATATCACAGACCTCAAACACTTTAGACCCTGAAAAGCTTTATGTTTGATTGGCTATTATGAGATTTCAAAGAGTTATTTTAAAGCAAAGATTTTGGTAAACTTAAATTATTTCACTTTTTTGAACTTGCATGGTAGAGGAAGACAGCTTTCACTCTTGTTCTTCCTCTTCTCACCACTAAAGTTATTAAAAACTAGTTAGACTATAGGTGGTTTGTGAGGCAGGAGAATAGGATCTGGAGGCAGGTAACCTAAGGCCAATTCGGCTGACTTCCTAGAACTAAATAGAAAGGACAACCCCAACTTTCCAGGCCCAAGTAACAAAAGGACCAGAGGTTACTCCCTTTGTTAACTTCCACCTTTTCTTCGAGGTGATGGAAAAATTGAAAGTATCTCTGATTGGTTGCAGAAGGTTCTGTAAAGTGTTGATTGTGGGCCACCACTTCAGTTACATGAAGTGAACACCAAGTGACCAATGGGAAACCTGTACGGAGCTATTTGGACCAGAGAAGATTCTGTATTCAGGCCCTTGAGCCGCTGCCTGGGTAGCTCCCACACTGGCGTGTACTTTCATTTTCAATAAATCTCTGCTTTCCTTGCTGCATTCTTTCCTTGTTTTGTTGTGGGTTTTGTTCAATTCTTTGTTAAGAACACCAAGAACCTGTACAACTTGCAGTCAAGTCCCTCTACCAATAAGTTTGTATATTTTAAGAAAGCCTCACTTATTCATGTATCTTCTATTATTTTTAATAATTCAAAATCTATGCCATAGTCTTCCTTCTGGGGCTCAAATGGGCTTCCTTTTCAAACAAAAAGTACTGATGGAAATTTATTTTTCTATGAAAATTTAAAAAAATAGTGATAAGCAGGAGTACCATTTATTATTAAGATTGTCAGTACCATATATATATATATATATATTATATATATCTCAAGATAACATTTTCTTCTCCAGAGCTTTTTTTTAATGTTTGGAAAATCCGTTTAGAATGTAACAGTAGTCCTCTTTTCTCCTTCTAGGCGGCTGTACTTTTGATGATGGTCCAGGAGCTTGTGATTACCACCAGGATCTGTATGATGACTTTGAATGGGTGCATGTTAGCGCTCAGGAGCCTCATTATCTACCACCTGAGATGCCTCAAGGTGAGAGTCACTCTGTTTACTCAATGCTGGGGGAATAGTTTTGCAATATCTATGATTTTATTTTAGGTGTTAACAACAATAATTTCATGGTTATAATAAGCGAATTTATTGTGCTACTGGATCACATCTAGGAACCTTAAAATATTCTTTGCCTTTCTTATAATAAATTTCTGTAATTCTCTATTCTTCAAGAATGCTCACTATACCTTTGTTATTTCCGTCTTTGGAAAAAAAAAGATATTAGTGTTTTTTTTCTATTTAATAAAAACCTCAGTGACAAACCAAAAATAAAAATGATTAAAAAAAAGCAGAATAAACAAAAAAACCTTATCAAAATAATCTTAAATGTGGGATCAGCTCATTTGGTAGTTATTCAATTAAATTATATAGGTTGGTTCCAATCAGACTGAAGGGAAAGGCTTTTATTACGTAGCAGGGAGAGGTTGTGTCTTTCTGCCACTGATCATGAGCATACCAGTGACTCTGAGGGGAGGCAGCATGGAGAAAAAAGTGACAAATGGAAATCTTTTACGTGGAAATTGTAGAGAAATAGGGCCAAATCTGTTCTTTTTTTTTTTTTTTTTATTATGGAGTGGAGTTTTGCCCTTGTTGCTCAGGTTGGAGTGCAGTGCTGTGATCTCAGTGCGCTGCAACCTCTGCCTCCTGGGTTCAAGCAATTCTCCTGACTCCTGAGTGGCTGGGATTACAGGCCTGCACCACCATGCCTGGCTAATTTTTGTATTTTTAGTAGACATGGGGTTTTACCAGGTTGGTCAGGCTGGTCTCGAATTCCTGAGCTTGTGATCTGTCCACCTCGGCCTCTCAAACTGCTGGGATTACAGACTTGAGGCACTGGGCCCAGCATCTGTTCATTTTTTGCCTTACTTTGTTATATCCTTTGATTTTGGGTTTGGTGAGTTAGTATAATTTCTAATTGTTTAAGCCGGTGTGCATTGTGTTTCGTCTTATGAAAAATACATTAACACAGGATGTCAGTATTGACATACTATTTCATACAATAGTGAACTAATAGTTGTGCTTTCAATTCTGCATATTAATCTGGAGCAAATTCCAAGTTCTGTGCATATATGCTTAGCATAACATTAAATTGTAACTTTGAAAATGTAAACAGGAATTTAAAAATATAACACTAAAGAAAACAAACTCTTTTCCTTCCAATATTTAGAACAAAGATTGTACATAATTACATATTATATATAGTCATGTATATATATTATATATATCATTATGCTGTTATATAATATCATTGATGTGCTGATTGCTTATCACTAATAATTTTGGTTTCAAGGTATATTTTAGTATTTTTATTATTATTATCTAAAAATGATCTGAATTAATTTTTCAACAAAATGAGTAAGTCCTTCCTGAGTGTGAATTTTAGATATGACACTTTTAGACATAGCCATTAGAAGTGAAAATGTTAATTCTGGTTATTGAAGAGAGAAAATTGTATCAGGAGCATCCTTGAACTTGCTGATTAATATGATTTAAAAAAACACAAGGTAGGCTGGGTATGGTGGCTAACACCTGGCAATCAGCACTTTGGGAGGCCAACGGGGGTGGATCATGAGGTCAGGAGTTCGAGATCAGCCTGACCAACCTGGCGAAATCCCCGTCTCTACTGAAAATACAAAAATTAGCCTGGTGTGGTGGCGGGTGCCTGTAATCCCAGCTAGTTAGGAGGCTGAGGCAGGAGAATCTCTTGAACCCAGGATGTGGAGGTTGCAGTGAGCCTAGCATGCACCACTGCACTCCAGCCTGGAAAAGGAAAACATCAAAAATAAACAATTTATGACACGTATGCAAAACAAATTAAACCTAAATGTTACGTTTCTAGATACAATTTTTGGTTTGTAAATGAATGGTAAATATATCCTTGAAAAGTTTTTTATTGGTTCTCTGTGCTGTGTACTCTTATAGTAGAATGAATTAAATTTGCTTTTTTACTTTGAATTGTCACTTTCCATGACTGAGTAGGCAAGTGGTTATTTTTGAGGCTTAACTGAGCCATAATTTCCTTTGCAGAGGGATAAATTGGAACTATGCGGTATACAATTTTTGCTTCTTATGTTTGACCCCTACTTTGTCAGCAGGCTCATTTAATTTTGTGCATAGGCTTGTATTTTTCTTTCAAAGGCATGTAACCTTATTTTCCTGGTTCATTTTAATTAAAGAAACTACTGTAATTTTTAACCTGAATTTTCTCTGGTACATTTAGACTAGACTTTTCATACAAAATTAAAGGGGATGGGCTGGGATGGACACATTTTGACTGTTTATAATCAGAGAATACTAAGAAAGATGTTGATTTATGGAAATGTTACCACTGCTAATTACCATTGATGGTGGGTAATGAATAGTTGAAGAATTACTGCTCAGGTGACCTTGTTGGCTCACCTTTGATGAACAGCTTAATCAGTAGTTACAGTACAGGATGATATGCACAGAAAAAGAAAGTGTTTGAAATTCAACCATATCTTCCAATTAATAGAACATTAAGTAATTAATCATGCAGAGGAGGAAAGAGGTCACGGCCACTTTATTTTGCCAAATGAAATTCTGTTTAGTCTTCAGAGAGGTGACAGAAAACACTCATGTATATTCTTCTTTTACTCACCTCTTTTTATAATATATGCCATTTTTTTTTTCATTTACCTTCTAACATTCTTTTAAAGTGCTGACTGGACATTCCTTGCTCATAAATTGGCAAAAAGGAGACATTTAGATTTATCATACTAAAATGTTATGATCTTTTTATTGTCACATAAATTAGCAAGCATGCCTATTTTCTTTATTTACTTTAAAAACAGACACAATAAAAAATAAAACCAACAAAAAAACCCCAAATGTTTGGCAACTCTATGAAGGCTGGCTTTCCAAAGCAAACTTGTTATTGAACTGTATGATAATTGGTGTTGTTAACTGGCTTCAGTTTATTGACTTTTTTGGACTGAAGGCCAAGAGTGAGAGAAAAAAGACAGGATGATTAAATAGAATGAAAGAAGACTGAAGATGTGTAGAAGAGAAGAACAGAAAGAAAGAAAATTGTTTTTACTCATGAAGAGATACAGTACTATCATTGCTTAAAATGTTCTGCAGCAGTTTCTGCTTACTTCTACAGTTCACATACACTTTTGTCAGATTCCAATAGTAATGATTGAAAGGTCTGGCAAATAGAATAAAAAATAGCATGCAAGGGAATGAGTACTTCATAAGGTAGTCCTAATGTCCCCAAATCATATGAAATTACTAGCACCTATTTAATTCAGTCATCAAGGAAATGCAAATTTAAAACACAAGAAGAACTATCGTACACGCAATGGAAAAATGAAAATTATAATTCCAAGTGTTAGTAAGAATGTAGAGCAAGTTAAACCCTCTTATACTACTGTTGGAGCATAAATCTGTACAATCTAATGACCAGCAAATCCATTCTTGGGTATAAGCCCAGCAGGGCTGAGTATACTGTTCACTAAAAGACAGGTGCAAAAATGTTGATAGCATCAGCATTCATAATAGTCCCAAGCTGAAAACAACCCAAATTTCTGTCAGCAGTGCAATGTGTAAATAAATGGCAGCATACTTATAAAGTGGAAAATTGTACTGCAAATAAATGAAAGAACCATTGCTGTATACAATAATATGAACGAAGTTCACAAACCCAATCTTAAGGGAAAGAAACCAGATGCAAGAGAGTATGTATTGTATACATTTATATAAATTATATGTTTCAAAAATAGGCAACACTAATTGATGATGTTAGAAATCAGTGTATTACTTACTTGAGGGAGGGGTTAGGTGAAAATGGTTAGTGCTTGTCGGTGGCATGAAGGAGTCTTCCAGATGCTAGTGATATTCTATTTTTTAATCTGGATGGCGTTTTACAGTTTGAGGTGTGCTGAAATCTGTAAAAAGTCATTGAGCTGTGCAGTGATGAGTTGTGTACTTTTCTTTATGTATCTGATATATCAATATAAATTGGAAAAAATATATAAAACAAGTGCATACAAGGATAGTGCTAGGAAAGTAAAATAACAGGCCGGGCGCAGTGGCTCACACCAATCCCAGCACTTTGGGAGGCCGAGGCAGGTGGATCATGAGGTTAGGAGTTCAAGACCAGCCTGGCCAGGATGGTGAAACCCCGTCTCTACTAAAATACAAAAATTAGCTGGGTGTGGTGGCAGGCACCTGTAATCCCAGATAGTCAGGAGGCTGAGGCAAAGAATTGCTTGAACCTCGGAGGTGGAGGTTGCAGTGAGCAGAGATCATGCCACTGCACTCCAGAGTGAGACTGTCTCAAAAA